ATTTTGGCAGCTGCACCATCTGCAATCTCCACTTTGGTTCAGATGCAGATAGACTATCAGTACTTCTGCAAATTAGGTGGAGCAGCTCTCAGCATACTCAGGCAATTTAAACAATGGTGCTTTTCTCAGACCTCTACCTTATTTACTCACTTGTAAAATGAAGATAACAGTAGTTGATAGGGTTGTTGAGATGTTTGGCTCCAAAACTTTGGACTATAAAATGTAGCATTATATATAAAGAATTATTAAGATACCTAGCTGATCTTGATTAACCCCTTAAAGTCTCTTTCAGGGTTACTCAGGGTATGTTTCTGTGTTGTTCTCTGAGGACAGTCATTTCAGTCATGCGTATTTGCTGCCTTTTGTGTCCCAAATGTAATAATTTTTAAAATCTCATATCCTCTTATTTCTTAATCTTGTTGAAATTTAAATGATTGCAATGAAAATAATGTTCAGACATATTGTTCTTTCTTTATCCAAGAAGTTTATGCTTGCCATAATGTTACTGGACTCTGAATAACAATGTACTTTGTAGCATTAATATGCAAGCATGATTCCTTCTCTCTTATTGGCTCTATTTCAAGGAGTATTGCTGAGTATCAGTGTATAGTAGGGCTTAACCATTTACCTGCCTGGTAAATGACGGGTTAAGTAAAGGTTAGGCTCCAGGTGAAATAAGAATAGGCATTCTCACTTAAGAAGTGTTCAGTAATATTCTTTGCCATAATCCCAAGACCCTTTCCACTTGTTAAGAAAATAATATTGGAACAGTCCGTGTATACCTCTGTTCAGGTTCTGTGTAAAAAGGGGTTCGGGGCAGAACCCACACGGAACAGAACTATGTACTCGCCTCCCCCCCACCCCCAGAGAGAGAGAGACACTTTGAAAAAAAAAAAACGATTGGGAGTTAAATGAAAAAAAAAAATGAAGTATATTGTTTAACGAGGAACAGAAGATGAAAAAGGGAGGTAAGAAAAAATATATTCAAAGATTAGGGGAAATACAAAAATAAACAAAATATACAAAACCCTCAGAAATAGTTCCAAGGTCCCACGGAGCGAAGCACACCTCGACCTAGGAGCCATAGGGCAGGAGTGGAGTTAGCACCTGCTTCCTGCCTCTTATCAGAGTGTGTGTGGGAAGGGGAGGGAATACAATGGTTCACCCCCACCCGGGGTCCTCCCAGGTGCTGGAAGGTCACACCCCCATTCCAAGCCTCAAACCACAACAACTTCAACACATCATCTTCTGTGAGTATTTTTAAAGCTCCTATTCACGTATCCTGTTCTTCCTCTTTTCTATTATTTACAAAATAACTAGGTAAATTATTAGTTAATAATAACTGACAATGAGAAGAATGTTTCTGTGAATTCAGACCTCCCCCATTATATATTTATCATAAAAGAAGTGAAAGTGTCTGCAAGGTTTATTCATAGTCAGACTATATTAAAAGGGGCTTATATAGAAGTGAATTTGTATAGACAGCTATGATCTAATCCAGTCAGCTGTGAAATATTTCCTATAAAATCAATTTGCTTCAGTAAAATTAATAATCACATTTAACCCCAACACACTTTGCATTCTCTGTCTATGAAGAAGGTCATATCATCAGAAGATACAGTACATATTGATTGAGACGCTAGAATTGTGGAAGTGAAATGACTCATTTAGAGTTACCCAAAAGGCTAGTGTCAGGTCTGGGAAAGGAAATAAAGTCTCCCCATGGCCACTCATGGCTTTACTCACCCAGATCAATTCTGCCCACACAGAAAGCCCTTCTAGTGCTTGGAGCCTTAGAGAGCAGGTGCTTCATGAAGAAGGTAAAGTTATGACAGATGTTGGGTGCTACCATGTATCAATGTAGAAGCTACAGTTCTAGATTTATACCAATGACCTCCTTCTATAAAAGGAGATGGTTTCTAGTGCCTAGCAGCTAATATTTCTAGAAACCGTTTCCACCCAAAGAACTTACCTATATCACAAGGTTGTTCTTACCTCTAATCAACTGGCAGCTTATGGGTAAGTTTTCAAATGTTGATGTTTTTAAAGATAGCTTAAGATTCTTTAATCTTTATGCTTCTAAATCACACATGTGCCTTTGAAAATTGTATGCAGTAACAGCATTGCCCTCTCCTCCCCAGTCTTATATATTCTAACCACGGATTTTTAAATTACACATATATACAAATGTGTACGTATTGTGTATATAAGGGTAAGTATACTTGTATATAGATAGATATGTGTGTGTATATAGATGGGTATGTATGTAGAGCTCACACATTTCCATTGATCCCACATCAGATATTAGCGGTACTGTAACAATTGGCAGTGCATTTTTAATACCAGTGTTGTAGCGATTTCAAATTATAGTGCCCACTACAAAGCTACAGAAAATGGGTAAACATCTGTAATTAGAGACATGTCAGTTCACAGAAGTTATTCGCATCATGAGAAACTACTGCCAAGAAAAAAATCTTTTTTCTTTCCCAGGCCAAATTTTTGCTGTACATTTTTGCATTTACATGATTTCACCAAGTTACCAGTACTTTATTATGTTTATTAACTTGCAGTATTATTATGTTTGCCTTGATCCCTAAAGAGAATAATTGATGTGGAATAAAGATGTTAAACTGTTAGTGCTTTTTCTTTCTCTGTTTTTCCTTCCCTCTGCAAGTAGTCAAATGTGATACGAATATGCTGAAGTATATTGTCTAGAAAGTGCTTTCCCAAGTCTTTGATTCTCAGTTTTGTTAGTTTTCTCCATGGAAATAATATGATTCCTAATCTAGAAAAATAGCAGATAGCCAGCATCAAAGAAAAGAGATAGAATCTCAAACTATCCTAGAGTGATTGAAAATTTATCTGTGTTTATTATCTGAGCTCATAAGAAACTAAACAATCTTGGTTTCTATGAAGTACTTATTGCCATCAAAGTGAACTCTGTTCTCAATTTCTTTTGGAAAGCAAGACTCTGAAATTGCATAGGAGAGATTAAAGACAAGGACAAAGGCACAATTACAAACAGAAGTACAAATGAAAACAGCTTGAGTTGTTCTGCTAGGTTTCTGGTATTCAGAGTACAGTAGCAGGACCTAGATCAACTTCACTGCCCTGTCACATAAGGCCTTGAAATCAGCTGATATTTGAAGTAAATGGGAAAAGAAACCAAAACCTGTAATAGATGTGAGATGAATTAACAATTTGCAAAAAAGAAGCAAATTATTTTTTTTTTCTTTTTAATAAACTAGAAAACTACTGTAATCTCCTATCTCTAAGTCAGAAGAAGGCTTTCTGTTGAAGGCATGTAAATTCTCCTTATTGTTTTTGCTTTCAATTCTGTTAAACTGCATCTCCAACAACTTTTCTCAGGCAAAACTAAAGCTTTTGTCATTCAGTGATAAAGAAAGGGAAAAAATCTAGTTCAGTCTTTGAGACAAAGAATCTTTTGATTCTGTTCATGCCGTGTGCTCTGAAGTTCAATGGGGC